TCGTCATAATAGACTTTGGTCATGTGACATCTGGTGGGGAAATTTCTATCAGTGCTCAAAGATTTGCTCGGGTTTTCAGGTTTAGTGCTTCTGCTTTTGAAACTGGTGTTACATTTTATATGAGAAAAATAAGACTGAACCTATCATACCATTTTTTAAAGTTATGCACCAATTTTATTTTCTCTGCTGAAATAATATTAGTCGGATAAAGTTAAATCAATGACATTCCTGGTTTCATTTTTTTAAGCTGTAAAAAACAAAAAAAAGAAAGAAAGAAAGAAAGAAAGAAAGAAAGAAAAGGCTACATCCAGATGAACAGAATCAACTTTTTGAGGTGTTTTTTGTTATCATTTAGTGGAACTCCCAGTTTTAGGTTTGTTTGGGTAAAACAAATAAAAAAAGTTGGAGACAAGTTTCCTGTGAAAGAGTTCCAAAACACAAAAAGAAAGGCCAGAAGAGATACTGAGAAATCAGTGGGAAACACTATAATTATCCCAGCGACACCAGGGTGTTTTAGTCAAACTTTGTACAAACCATTGAAGACATTAAGGGGACTACTGGTACAAAGCAACACCCTCAGTAGAGAGGAGCAGCAGCTGTACTGAATACTTCATGTGTGACCAGACAAAGAAGACAGCCGACCTTCAATTAAGGATGTTTTCTGTTATGGCTTCGTTTGATTTTTATCAAAAGCAGGTTTTTATTCAAAGATTTCTCAAAGAAAGTAAATGTGTAAAAACATTGCTGAGCTTTATTTGTGTGTCCCCCCCCCCTTTTTTTAAATAATCAAATAATTGTTTATTTTTAGGACAGAAGATATTTGCAGCCAGACAAACATCTCCTGCCTGGCAATAGTCATCTTGTAATGGATGACACTAAACAAAGGTCAGGAATGGCTTTTCACACAGTGGACTAACACTTGGATCTATGCCATGTACTTTGTAGCCTTCATATGTACTTTTACACAGCTATTGTTAGGTTACACTATTCCCCAGTTATAACATTTTATGTGGAAATCGTCATTAAATTGTGTTATCATCAATGTTCCACATGTATCCTGGCTATGAATGCAGCCCAGCTTCCTCAACTTTTGCATTTATTCAAAATCAGATTGAAGGAAGTGTCATAGACAGTTATGACAAAGGTGAGTTGGTCTCCATGGTCTCCAGTGATGTTTAAAGCCTTGTCGGTGTGAACCGTGAAGGACTGAGGCATCGCTGAGTGGAACCCCCTGATGGATTCTGCCATCAGGCGGTTCCACTGCTCTGAAACTGGAGTTGACAGTCTTCAAGTAAAATATGTAATGGTCTACAGCACAAACTCTAGTTTTGGTGCCAACCTAAATGAAGAAAGAGTTAAAATCAAAGTCAGCATAAACATACCAAAAAGAAAAAGGCAAAAAAAAATTGACATAGCTAATAAAAACTAATTTAAACACATAAAAACGAAGCAACATCTAGTAATGGGACTTTAAATGTAACACTCGGGAATCATGTGACACTGCAACCAGCTAATAGAAAACAACAGGCCAGAAAACACAAGTTACAATTTATCAGCCTTTATGGAAAATTCATGTGTTTTGCAGTGTGGTACAGCATAGGCATTACTGCTTGCTATGAGACGGGGTTGGCCTGTTTGCCTTTCTGGATATTATCTTTCCCGGTACCCAGTCGAACTGATGAGGGGAAAAAAGTTTGAGAAGCACACAGGAAGGTGGGCAAGAGCAGCAGACTGACTGAAAAACAAGCAGAGAGCATGAATATTTCGAGAGGACAGCCGAGCACCAGCAGCCTAACAAAGAGCCTGATTTTCAGACTGTGCAGTAAAAGACCTGTTCGTCTGAATGTCAACAGCAACTGAATGTTACACCTCCTCTAATAAAACACTCTTTTAATGAAGTACAGTTTTGCTTAGGGCACACTGAAGTAAAACTACTCATCAAGTTAATTTGCTTAATTATTCAGCAGAGTCTTCTGTCTGAAAGGACATCTGTTACAAAACAGAGTGTGTGTGTGTGTGTGTGTGTGTGTGTGCGCGCGTATGTTCTTACTGGTATGTGGGTGTATGTGTGGGTGTGTGTGGCTCTGTGTGTGAGTGGGAGTCGAAGAGAACCAGATATGCTATGTTAACGGGTGTACTAAAGGTTGTTACTAAAACGTCCACCCTAATTTTAGTGATACTCTACTGCCCCCTTCTGGTTCAGCTGAATCATTGCAAAAGTCATAGTTATGACTGAAAACAAAATGTGGTCCGTTTATGCCATCTGGGGGCCAACCATGTAACAAACCAAACACACTTGTTGCATCACAGCACATACCTATGCATGTAATTCTGTTACCAACAGCCACATTTGATTTTAAAATAAATAAATAAATAAATAAATAAATAAATAAAAAGGGGAAAAAATATAGAATCAGTTTATATTACTGAGACAACTACAATTTTTACAAAATGTCTCTCCAAAATGGGAGATTAAAAAAATATTCTTTTTAAAATATCTTTATAATTTTAACCATAATTGCATAGATTTATCATTGTTAAAGGTATGTGAGGCCGCAGTAATAATGTAATGCACAAAATGACATTTAATACAAGGGTTTGACTTTGAGATTTCATTTTTCTATTGCTCAGCTGGAGGCAATATGCTATCACAATATGCTCTGCTAAGAAATATGCACTTCCATTTCTAATAACAAATTAGAACAAGTGGATTAACCATGGGAACCAGTTCTTAAAAACAGCTATTTTAAACAAATGCATCAGTGCAGTAATTTTGCATATTTACCGACAGTGTATGATATGTTAATACCACAAAGCAATGATACACATCTGACTTCCTGTTTCATTTTTGACAGTCTGGCCCCGCTGAGAACAGAAAATAAAGACATAAGCATTTTACCAAATTAATGTTGCACATGACTAAAGGACAAGAACACACTGCTCTCTGTATTGATAATTTACAGGAATACCATATTGTTTATACATTTCAGAAAAATTGTTATTCTAAATATTTTGAGTCAGAATGTCTTATCATATTATCTATCATATCTATCATGTCTTTCTGAAAACAGTTGTAAATGGTAAATGGCCTGTATTTGTATAGCGCTTTACTAGTCCCTAAGGACTAAGGACCCAAAGCGCTTTACACATCCAGTCACACACACATTCACACACACATTCACACACTGGATGTAGCATAGAAGCAGGGATGGTGTTGTATTGTAGTGTTTTAGTTCATTGTGCTATGAATAAATTAAGAAGAGGCTGAGAGGAAAGGCAGATCTGTTGGTAGTGAACAAAAGAAAACAGCACCACCTATAGAAACAACAGCAATTTCACTAAAGATATTGAGGCTTGAATGTCACTTCATAAGTGAGTTTACTTTTAATAAGTAATACGTTTCCCATTCACAAAAACAGCTTTTCATCATCACCCCATGAAACACCTCACTACCCAGGATATTAAGTTCAATACAAATAAACTAAATTAAAACGATATGTGAAAATGCATTATATTCAATGGAAATACTAATAAAAACTATACTTAAAAATGAAATAATACTGGGTGTTGGCAAAAATAAAACATACAGTAAACCTTTCCATTGTTATTTAAGTGAAATTTGTCAACACAACCAATCTGAGGAAGCTTTGGTGAATATTTTTACTGTCTTAATAATGTTTGTATTATAATACCTGTTCTGACCTTCTTATGTTTTGCTGCTTGACAGTTAACATACAAAAGCTAACGTTTGAAACTGATGACAACTGAGAATATGGAATGAAAGATTAAAAAAAATTAATGTGAAAATCTGTTTTGGAAAAAAATATATAAATGGGAAAAAATATAAAAACAAATCTTAAAAAACAACAACAACAAAAAAAACTGTAACAGATTTTTTTTTTATTCAGTGAATAAATGATTACAAATTACCATATTGTCTTATCTTTATCTCATGTAATTTGCAATCATTTAATTAATTCATTAAAATCTCTTAATATTTAACCCCATAAATCCTAAATGTCAGTAAAAGCATCAGAATTTTATGGTCAGCGTGAACAACATTTGCATTCTTTGGATAAATGTCCTCATCATTATCAGTCCAAAGTGAGATTTGAAAAAAAGAACTCCTAATCTACACTGCAAATAAAAGTGTAAATAGCAGCCATGAGCCATTTAGTCAGCAAATGCTGATTATAATAACATTGCTCTAATAATTGTGCACAAAAGCTCTGGTTTGTCACTTCAGGCATTGCCCCTATCCTTGATAACCTTAAAAACAATGGGACCTCCAGGGTGGAACAGATTGACCTAATAACACCAGTATAGGTTTATAGATCAATATCAATAATTTTAGAAGTCAGCAATTCAGTACTGTAAGTGATATGTCGTAATTTGTGTAGTGAGAGCACATTAAAAGTAGTTTTTATTGATCTGTTATATGTCTGAGAAAAGTCATGGATTTACTGTAAAATCAGCAGTCTATTGTGAATGTGGACAAGTATTATTATGTATGTCACCCCCTCTCTATGTGCCTAACGCCCGTATAATGCACGAGTTCCTAACAAACCAATCAACAAGCAATTCAACATAACTAAAGGTGAACATTTGCTCCCCAAGATGTATCATCCAACTCAAGCAAATCACAAATCAAGTTCTCCGGACAACTCTTTTTGTCTGGAAAACTGGAATACAGAAATATATGCTCGGAGAGCATATAAAAAAAATATTTAATCTGGGTGTAGTTATAAAAGCTATAAAAAAAAATTGAAAATTTTTTAAAAATACCATATATTCAGTATGCACCCATACAGTCTGAACGCACTATAAGTGAACTTTCTTAGTGTGCACAGAAAATAATTCATAGTTTTTCTTTCATTGGTTAGACACAAATATCCTAATATCTAGTGAACACAAACAGTGATAACGTTATATAAAGATTAGTATTTTCCATGTGTGTGAGTGTATGAGCTCATCTGTGAGTGTTTTGAGTGGACTCTCACCGAGCTGGTGGGCCTTTCTGAGGCAGGAGAGGGAAGCGTTGAGACGGGCACACTCCTCTTCACTGGCACCAAACTTTTGCAGCAGCTCACACACCTGCTCCTCGCTCATCTCCAGCAAGCCCTCCAGGGTCACCTCACCTGGACTCATTTCCTATCAAATATACACATGCAACATGCATGCAGCTTAAAGACCACCACAAATACACATCTAGCTCAAAAACTTAGATATTTAGATATACATTTAATGGAATAAGTTACTGTAATAGATAATTTTCTTTATTATACAGTGTAACAACATTAAGGATGATCAGGATTTTCTATAATGAGGCCATCAAACTTACAAGTAATCCCTGTAAACCAAATCCTCATGAAACAATTGATCTATATCAGCTCAACATCAGTTGTTTCCACTCATGACTCTCCACGATGTCAATCACAGTGCATATGTTTATATGGACATCTCCGACACCGCACATACTGCTAAAACCTCCTGCTTAAAGCAATAAAGAAAGGGGCTAAAATAGCTCCTTTCTGCCAGTGGGTGAGCTGAGGTGATACACAAAGGCCCAGTATGAGATGCATAGAGACTCCACTAGTACACGAAAACTTCGAAACTCAGTGCTATGGCATTTACAGCATTTTAGTAAGCTTTTAGCCAGAGGGTGATATGAGCTGTCAGATTTCGCTCTCAGTCACCAGTATGGAAACCTCAACTGCTAAAAGCTACAATCTGATAGTGACAGTGAAATGTTTAAATGTTAAGTATAAAAACTTTATTCAAATCTGTACAAAACATATTTTTTTAAAAATGAAAGAAGGCAGAAAAAGGCAATGTGTTAAAAAGTTCTTGGAACAGTTTGTCAAATACACAAATCAGAAAAATATCATCTGAAATTTTGACTTTGAAGCAATGATCATGAGATGTATTTTGAGTGTAAAAAATGGTTACTACGTGGTATCACGGCTTACCTGTGTGACCTCTTTCCTCAAGTTGACAATGCGGAACCAGTGGCCGAGGCGAGGAAAGTCCTCCAGCTCGGCACTGCGTTCCTCTAAGGCCACTTTGCACTTACAGGACAGCTGGCGGCTGAAGTACTTTACCAACTTCCCCTAGGAGGAAGAAAGACAAAAACAGTGAGACGATGCTTCTCCTGACCAAACTACTTTCACATTTTTAACATATCTACATACAAAAGTAATTCTCTGTGCTGAAAAAGTACGTTTCACCTCTCGGTTTCTCTTTCCTTTGTTTTCTATAAAATTCCTTTAAAACTGAAGCACAAATAAAACAATGGAAATTGTTTTAATATTACTCCGAAACCACTGGAAGAGTGGAACCTACCTCAGCTGTAATGGGTTAAAGGCAAGGTATATCCTGAACAGGTCAACAGTTTGTGTCAGTTTTGCAAAAATCCTGCCCGGTGTAGTGCTTTATAAAACAAAAGCAAACTTTACATTTTAAAAACAAATCATGTGTTTTTAAATCCTATTAAATAATCCTAATATGTTTAAATTTGCAGGAAAAAAAGATTTCAATTATATTTTTAGTCTGTTGTTGAAAAATCCCAGAAATCAAAGCAGTCACATAAGGTCATGCCAGTACCATAGTCATGGTAATATCCTATCAGTCAGTTAGGAAGAGCCTCTGGTGCCACAGAAATTCCAGGACAGCCTGGTTAATCAGCTCAGGCCAAGCAAATGAAACACTGTTTCATCATTTAACCCCTCTTCAACTCGCTGCTGAGTGATTATTGGTTGAAAGCTGTGATTATATCAGAAACCTCCTCTAAACTGAAAAATGGTGCTGATACAAAGACACATACAAGTGGGCAGATGCATGCAGGCTTTTCCTTTGTTAGAAGTCATTCTTCCTGCCACAGACACGTGGCTTGTTAGTGAAGGAGGATGTCATTTGCAAAAATAATAAATCATCAATTGGCGATAGCGCTGCAATAAATTGTAATAACTTTGCATGTGATGTTGTATATTTTTGTAAGACAACATACAGCAAAAAAAACAAAAAAATAATACAGTTCGTTTTTTTAAATTGTATAATTTAAATTGACTGTTTATCAAAATAGAAGTCTGCATTTTCTCCCTGTGCTTGTGTGGGATCTCTCCGGGTACTCCTGCTTCCTCCCACAGACCAAAGATATGTAATTGGTGGTGTTAGGTTAATTGGAGAATCTACATTGCCCATAAGTGTGAATGTGAGTGGTTGTCTGCCTCTCTGTGTCAGGCTGGCGACCTGTCCGGGGTGTGCCCCACCTCTTGCCTTATGGTATCTGGGATGGGCTCCAGCCCCCCGCAACCCCGAAAAGGATAAGCGGAAGAGAATGGTTGGATGGATGTTTATCAAATTTATTTACAGTTTGATTCCAAGTGAATTCTGTAGCTCACTCTCACACCATAAATTTATATCAATATCTACACAAATCTAAATCTAAAATAGCTATAAATAAATAAGTAAATATTATACTGGTTGATTTTTAATTGTTACATTTTTAGCTGTGTAGTTTTTAGCCAATTTTACAGGTTCACCTAACATATCAAATGCACCTGATGACAAACAGGTAGCTCTATTCACACCTTGCTCCTGATTTCATATTACTCCACTCAAAACCAGTGGTCAACACCAAACAGCCAACAAAGAAGTTGTGGCAATGTAAAGAACAGCAGTGCCAGTGTTATATTTGCCATGTCTGCCAGTATACCACAATCCACTTGGGTCCGAGTGACCTACAATTTGTCATCAAATGGTGAGCCAAAGGTTCTCTGTGCAAACATTCACACACATAAAACACTATAACATGCGACCACGTATATAGGCTCCAAGCAGGCTCTAAGCAAACTTGGGGGGGGGGGGGTGTAAATAAATGCAGCTACTTGTCTGTGGTCTCATTAATCCAACTTACAGTAAATAACACTAAAAAGCAAAATTTTGACTGAACTATTCTATTTTTCTAAAAATGTTTTACAAATGCTCAATCAAGAAGCAGTTTTATATTTAAGAGCCTATGTATTTGCAAGTAAGCATAACATTTATTCAATACATTGGTGACAGTATTCACTTTAAAACATCCTTATTTACTTACTTATTATTAACTAAACTACACTGCTAAGTTGAGTGCTTGTCCAAATTAAAGCAGTTTACAGTCATGTATAAAGAGTGCCCTCTCCCTGCAGGGAACTCTACACTGAAAATATTATTTAACACAAGTTCACTCATGGGTCAGATGCAAGCATGTTAGTTAGCGACAGCAAGAAATTTGCATCCATAGTGAGTTCCGTCTGTCATTTTGAAAGTTGTGTGATTTATCACAGTTAGATCACTACACTTTTATTTTAGCTGTGCACACAAATCTCTAAGAAATACAGGCAACTATTCAAAAAGCTGGCTCTATAGTTTTGTGGTTTACTCGGGGGGGTTTTTTGGGTTTTTTTGCTTTCTCTTTTCTTTTTTCCTTTCTTTTTTAAAAACCAGCAAAAATATAAATACATTTTTTCAAATGTAACAGCATAAAAGCGCAGTCGAAGGAAGCATTGCATAATTCTTGTAAAAAAATCGGAATACATATTTGATAAACTTGCATTTGTCAAATACATGCTTTTTCTTCATATATGACAGATATGTTCAAATGCTCTAATATTATTTCTGGTTTTCAATCAATTTTACATTAAAAAAAATGAACAAAACAACATTCATTTAGATACTTAAAACTAAAGTTCTGTATAATATACTGGGATCATCTTATCACTAAGATGTAGCTGTGCTGGTGACTCCGAAAATACTACATATCAGGAAGTTACAGTGAAGTCGTGATATTGGGTATATGTCCATCATTTGCTACTTCCATGTTTCTGTTTAAAACAAAACCTAAACAAACATCTTATTTTTTAGATGTGTAATATTTAAAATATTCAAAACACCTTTGCAGATTAATGAAATATCTGAAAATGGTTACCATCAGAATGTTTACATTTGGACTAATTACCAACAAATTACAATAAAAGTAATACCTCTGAAAAATATATTTCCAGTGTGATATGCACTCACCAGCCACTTTATTAAGTACACCCATTGAGTTGATCAATAACACAGACATTTATTCAGCCAATTACATGACAGCAGTGCATGTAGCCAAGCAGACATGGCCATGAATACTTGAAATTCAAACCGACCATCAGAATGGGCAAGAAAGCTGATTTAAATGATCTTGAATGTGGCATGATGTTGATGCCAGATGGGCTGTATAAGTATTTCAGAAAATGCTGTTCTACTGAGATATTCCCACACAATCATCTCTAGGGCTTACAGAGATAGATCTGAAGAAGAGGAAATATCATGTGAGTGTCAGTTCTTTAGGTGAAAATGCTTAAAGTGACAGAGGCCAGAGGAGAATGGTCAGACAGCAAAGCAATAGAAACTCTAATAAACACCCAAATTGGGCAGAAGAGCATCTGTGAATCCACAAGAACATTGAAGCAGATGAGGTACAACAGCAGAAGACCACACTGGGTACCACTCTTATCAGGAGAAAGATGTTAGTAAGATGTTAAACCATCATGTCAATATGGACCAGATCTCTGAGGAATATTTCTTCCACCTTGTTGTATCTGTGCCTGAAGAGTTAGTGCAGTTCTGAGGGCAAAAGAGTCCAACCTCGTACTAGCAAGATGTAACTAAAGTGGCTAGTGACTGTTTGACCCACAAGTGATTTTTCCATTACCCAAGATGCTAAAAGTTGCAGAGGAAGTAGATCAATACATTCATTATATTCAACATTTTTATGATTTTAAAAAAAATATGACAGTGTCACATATAGAAACATAAGACTCGGGGATATAAATCACCCTACTTGGTCACTTGAAGGTCAAAGGAAAGTGCAAAATAAAGAAAAGAATAATCATTTAGATGCAAACATCTCTGGAATGAGATATTTTCCCTCATTCCAGACTCTGCTGTGAGACACTTTGTTCTGACTCTATCGGGCTGCATAAAGCCTCACACCACTGAAAGCGGGACATACAAGCATCTTTGTTACTACGCAGTTTCGAGCTGAAACAGTGGGTGACGTGATGCTTGAAGACTTAAGGGTGATGCATGTAGATGGCCCCATTCCAAAAGTACACCTACAAAATGACTGCTAGAAATTAGAGAGTTCTGTCCTACATCAGTGCATACCAAAGTAGAAACCAGTGGAGGAGGGACCAGCAAGTCACCTCTGAATGCAGAAAACCCTACAGCAGCTGCCCACGGCTGCTAACACTGCCTGATAAAGAAACTGAACAGTCCACACTTACAAAGAAACACACATGTACCCTGGCTAAATCAGTTAATAGTTTACTGTATGTCAGAAAATATATCAATAAGTTGGTGAGCTTATTTTTGAACAACATACAGCAGCGTTAAGTAACCAATGAACCAGCACAATTTAAAAAAAAAAAGGGGGGGGGCAAACAGGCCTAGGTGTGCCAGAGAATCGCATAGGACAGACAGAATCAATTAAACTGAGATCAAAGTGCATATCATTGAAAACATTATCCCATGTGTTGGAATCTTGAATGCGAGTTTGTTGAGCTGTCATTCATTTCCACTTTGACCTAGGCTGAGAAATTTCTGTGAATAATAGATGTATTATTTATTTATTAATTATTGTTCCCCTTGGGATGCAGTATAGGCTATACTCTGCTGTGATCAATATTTTGGTTGTAAACACATGCTAATCTAATAACATCCCATCAGCTTTACCCGAACTTTGCTTTTTAAATAATCTCTTTAAACAGATATTATATGATTAATACTCAACACTGATATATCTCATTATTAATCTAAAATTAAGGTTTGACTTGAACCAGCTTCTTCTTTTGACTGCTCCCTTTAGGGCCACCACACCCAATCATTTGCTTCCATCTTCTCCTATCTCTAGCATCCTCCTCTGTCACGCCAACCTGCGCGTGTTCGACTTCACATAATCTACAAATCTTCTCTGTGGTCTTCCTCTTTTCCTGCCTGGGAGTGTCATCTTCAACATCCTTTGTCCAACATATCAGCTGCCTCTCCTCTGCACATGTCAAAATCATCTCAGCCTTGCCTCTAATTTTGTCTC